ACACAAAAATGCAGCTTATCAAACCAATGTTGCCCAGAAATATGTCAAGCGACATCAGGGCCACTGGCACCCAGCTCCACCCGCTCAGGTCGTAAATGCTGGCAAAGTGTGTGAAGAGGCCAAAGGCTGTTAGACTCATAGCCACGCCCGCTGATGAGACTTGCATCAGTATTTTGCGTCCACAGACGTCGCACAGGAGTGTGCTCACGTAGGCGCCCAATATTTGAACTACTCCAATAATAATCGAGCTGGTATTGGGGTCCATGTTGCTGCCCGACTTTGCAAATATATCCGACATATAATTGACCATTGTGAATAGGCCGCTGAACTGATTGGCAATGACTATTACCCCAGCCATGGCGTAGCCCTTGATGGCGGCAGGTGTTACTGATTAAATAACATTCGTGTAAATTATCAAGGAATAGATGAGTTACATTTTCTACTACTCACAAAAGTCCTTCAGGCTGACCTTGTCCGGCATATCATCCTCGTTGGTTAGCTTCATTTTTATATTCTCGAATTCCAGCGTAGCCAACGATTGCTTATCTAAGCTGTCGCTATCTTTAATGTTCTTATAGTATCTAAATGATTTTTCAGCTGCTGCAAACCTTTGCTCTCGAATGAGTTGCATCGGCGAGTCTCGAATGAACAGCAAAATGAGGGCGAAGTAGCTCAAGGGACAAAGGATGACCACAAACGGTACTGTGTAGTACGCCAAATGTGTACCGAGTATATAGCCCAGAAGTATACCAATATTTACAGAGAGCATGACCATGGAGGCCAACGTTCCTCGAATGCTGTGAACACAGAGTTAAAGCATATTTCATTGGAATTCGACTCAGATTCCTTTTGTATGCCATCTTTCACAAAGATTTTGTTGTTGTGTCTCTTCAAAGTTCTTAGAAATTTTTATATTTTCATTTGTATGTGTTACATGCGAGAGTTCGCAATCGCACTAATTGCTGCGTAGTGGACACACTCATGGAGGGAGGATCTAGGCTTCATTAACTATGTGAAGGTAATTCTTGAATAACTTTTATTTTTACTAGATTTTCATACGAAAAGTTTGAGAGTGTAGAGATAATAGTTTTCTTTCTTTTACAAATTCAGGGATAAAATGCAAAATATTCGAAATGGTGCATTCATCACTTTTATCTATGTACATTGGATATAAGTTTTAATTCTTCAGCTTTTATGGTATTCAACGGTTAACAAAACAAATCAAATCAATCGATTATTATCGATAATACGCAAATGAGATCAGCTTTCAAAAATGTGATAAAATCTTACTACGGACGGACAGAGAGCCTGAATCGACATAGCTCAGAGGATTACTCGATTGAGTCAGTGGCGACTGTTTGTTAACCACATTCAATTCACAAGTCTTACTTACTTAGCATCTGAAATTTCACTGAGAAATATGGGATGTATTATATAGATGCCTCCACCCGTAATGCCTGCTAGAAAACGGCCCACAATCAGAAACTTGACGCTCTGGGCAAAGTAGACCAAAAACCAAAGACACTGGGAAAACAGATAATTGAAGACGATTGCGAGGGTGGATTGAAGAATTATAAGCAATTGTTTTACTTTATTTTCGCTTACATACCGAGTGGGGCACAGCTATTAACAGCAAACAGAGCTTGCCTCCAATGCGATTAATTAAGAGTCCACATATTATATTGCCCGTCACTGAGCCCAGCCCCAAGGCCGAGCCGACCCAGGAAACATCATTGACATCCACTGAAAATTGGAGCGGAGAGTCCGTCGACTGCAGTTTGCGCAATGTGGGCGAGAGCCAGCCGATGCCCATGCCATGTGATATGCATATTAGATTAACTGCAAAGCCGTACGGATAAAGATCTCTCTGCGCAATTCTATAGATCCCCCGATATCACTCACTGAGCACCGTGGCGAGCAATTGATGGCGATTCCGTTGATTGAGCAAGCAATTAGACCGCTGAAACAATTGCGCAAACATCTCTCCCACTTTCCCGACGCTTCAGTCTGTGCCAGAGGAAAGTTAATTTGCTACTGAACTCGCGTCTATAAAGAAAATTCATTCGCATACAAACCTTTATGGATCGAGGCGTAAAGATAAAGAGACAGAGAGAGTAACAATCGTAATCAAGTGAGCTGCTATAAAAGTATTTATATATCGGATGAATTTGAATTACATTCGAATGGTGAATAATGATGCTTGATTGATAGACTAGATGGTGCTATAAATCGTGATTCGAAGCCAGCAGCTCTATATAGACAGGCATAGTTTATAGGCGAGAAACATTCGATAAGTAAACTATCGCTGGCTGACTTCAAGGGAGAAGGAGAAGGAGTTATATGACTTTGTCGGACTAAGGAACAAATAGAGAGAGAGAGAGAAAGAGAGAGAGAGAGAGAGAAAGAGAGAGAGAGTGGAATAGATAGAGAGTGACTAAGCAAGCAGGGTCATCATCGATGGGGGTCTTTTCTCCCTCTTTGCCTAACTGTATTATCCTTAAGTCAACAGTTATGTGACTTAAGCTAGCTTATTTTTAATTTATTCAGTTTTATTTACTAAAATATCTTAGTATCTTTGTTCTTATCTTTATCTTAGGTACTACAGAAATTTTAAAAACAATTTTATTCTGGTTTTGACGTAGCTTCCGCCTTAATCTTCGAGCATAGACTTTCCCTTAGTTTCCTTCAGGAACATAACAAAGTAAACAAAACCAAATGCTGTGATGCCCGCACAAGACCACATCGTCACCGATATACCCCATTGATCCAAGCATATAGGTAAAATGCTGAGTGCCAAAAACACAAACATGCTGCAAACAACGATTGCAGTCGACGCTGCTTTAGAGCGTATCTGAAAAGCCAAGCGGCAACATCTCAACGAGTGCGACAAAGAAGCAGCCAATGAGTCCTATATTTCCCAGAAAGATGTACGAGGACATGAACAGCAGTGGCACCCAGCTCCATTCACTCAGATCGTACCACTGTGCGTAGTAGCTGAACAGGCCGAAGGCTGTCAGACTGACAGCCACTCCGGCTGAGGAGACGATCAACAGGATTCGTCGACCCCAGATGTCGCAGAGCACGGTTGTCGTGTATGAGCCCAATATCTGAACTATGCCAATCACAATGGTACAAGTATCCGGATCCATAGTGCTGCCCGACAGGGCAAATATGTCCGACATATAGTTGATCATCGCAAAAAGTCCACTAAATTGATTCACAATAACTAGCACAATGGCTGAGATATAAGCTCTGATAGCAGGTCGAGTTACTAAGGGAGATGTTTAGTCGAAGATCTATGATTAAGGCTTGATGCTGTGAGTGATCCGATAACAGACATCTGATTTAAAGGAAATACTTACTGAAGTCCTTGATGGTGACCCTATCCAAGTTCTTATCGCTCTGGGTCAATGCCTCCTTCATTGCCTCGAATTCGTGCATTTCGCTCATCTGGTTGTCTTCTCTAATGTTTTTATAGTATCTGAAGGATTCTTCAGCCTCAAAGTACCTGCCCTTACGAATCAGATGCATCGGAGATTCGCGTATGAAGAAGAGATTCGAAATGAAGTAGCTAATCGGTAATACGAGCACTACGAAAGGAATAATGTGATAGGCCAGATGAGTGCTCAGTATATAGCCCATGAGTACTCCAACGTTTACAGAGAGCATTACCATAGACCCGAAAGTCCCTCGAATTCTGTAAGAAAGCGAGATTAAGATAATGTCGCCAACAATTGTAAGCCATTTAAGTGCGTCGTAAGTCTAGTCTAGTCTAATGTAATTAACAAGTTCAAGGACGTCCACTGAACCCTCTACCCTGTCGTGGTACTTATGACCCACGAAACACTCACTTGGCATCAGAGATTTCACTGAGGAATATCGGATGTACGATGTACATGCTACCACTAGAGATGCCAGCCAGGAAGCGCCCAATGAACAGATACTCCGCGCTCTTAGCAAAGTAAACAAGGATCCACAGGCACTGGAAGATGCGGGTAATTCGTTTGCATATAGATGTTACAATATAAACTACACTGATTACTTACCGAGTGTGGGAAGGCTATGAAGAGCAGGCTGAGGCGACTGCCAAGCCGAGAATGAACCAGTCCCATCAGGATGTTTCCCACCACGGCGCCTAGGCCCAGGGCGGAGCCCACCCAGGAGATTTCCGAGATGCTCAGCGAGAAGTCGAGGGGCGAATCAACGGACTGTATCTTACGTAATGTGGGTGACAGCCAGCCGACGCCAATGCCATGTGCAATGCATATCAGGTTTACTGGAAACGGGCTTTACACTTGTCAAATATTGACTTAAGAGATTTATCTTTGCACTCACTTAAAAGCGTGGATAGAAATTTATAGCGATTTCTGCGATTCAGCACACAAGTTGAGCTTTGCAATAGTTTTGCAAACATTTTCCAGATCACACTTGGTCAATGCGCATTTGAATACTGAATCGCGGGACTTGGTTCCCTTTGATTTTAATTGGTTCGGGTCTGTAGTATGTGGACTCGAGTTGCTATAAAGATTAAAGCTGTGCATGCAAATATATAAGCCAGACATATGGGATTCTATTACATATGAATACATATGAATGAATATATACATTTATATGCATATATATGCAGGGAATAACAAATAGAAAGCGTTATCTGAGCTTATATTTCAGAGAGAAGTTATTCTACTAAACAGAGCCAAACGTCTTTAAAGGTTTCAAGAGAAAGGTATTAGTTTTTCCTTCCTTTTGTCATGCTTTCAGTAGGTGTGGATATAGAATATTGTGTCAGTTTGTAGAGAAGTTCAGTTAGCTTATTTCATAACTACAGAGTTGACTCTAAAACTGTGGAAGATATCACCAAATTCCCAAGATTACTTATACATTTATGTACATATATATTTATACATATATTATTTATACATATATGTAACTACATATATGTAACTGTAAAAAGAATATACAGTTTTAGCCATTTCACATTTTATTTTCATATTATTATATTATTTATAATCCAATCCCTATGTTTCGAAAATGTCTGAAGGTTTCTATTAACTATTTCAAAAGTAATGTTAACTCTAGCAATACACATATATTGTCTGCGTCTTTAGTATGAAGTTGCCATTGCTTCAATCCTTTCCATTCCGCTTCAGTCCTCCAGCATAGACTTGCCCATGGTTTCCTTCAGAGAGAACACAAAGTAAAAGAACCCAAATGCAGAGATGCCCGCACAGGACCACATCGTCAGCGGTATACCCCATTGATCCATACAAACGGGAAAAACTTTGAGGCTGACAAAAAAGAAGATACCGCAGACGACAAGTGCAGCCGATGTTGCTTTGGTGCGTATCTGAAAAGCAGTGAAATCGAGTGAAAATATTTCCATTTTCAATGGATATTACATACCTTGAGAGGAAATATCTCGACAATCACGACAAAGTAGCAGCCCATGAGTCCGATGTTGCCCAGATAGATATTCAGGGACATAAAGAGCAGTGGAGCCCAGCTCCATTGACTTAAGTCGTGCGACTGTGCGTAGTAGCTGAATAGGCCAAAGGAGGTCAGACTGAAAGCTACTCCGGCTGAGGAGACGATCAACAGGATTCTACGACCCCAGATATCGCAGAGCAGCGTTGTCGTATACGTGCCCAAAATCTGTATAATCCCTATGACAATGGTGCAGGTATCTGGGTCCATAGTGCTGCCCGACAGAGCAAATATGTCCGACATATAGCTGATCATTGCCAGAAGACCGCTGCATTGACTCACAAAACTCAGCACAGCAGCCGAACCATAAGCTTTCAAGGCAGGTCGTGTTACTATCGAACGTTTGATATGAGATTTAAGAGTAAGATGTCATATTGTTTAACTCACAGAAGTCCTTGATGGTGACCCTATCTAAGTTCTTATCGCTCTGTGTCAATGCCTCCTTCATAGCATCGAATTCGTGCATTTCGTTGTTCTGAGTGTCTTCTCTAATGTTCTTATAGTATCTGAAGGATTGCTCAGCCTCTGAGTACTTGCCCTTGCGAATCAGATGCATCGGAGATTCGCGTATGAAGAAGAGATTCGATATGAAGTAGCTAATCGGTAATATGAGCACTACGAACGGAATTATGTGATAGGCCAGATGGGTTCCCAGTATGTAGCCCAAAAGTACTCCAACGTTTACAGAGAGGAAAACCATAGACCCGAAAGTCCCTCGAATTCTGAAAGAGATTAAGTGATTGAATTTGGCTTATTAATGATTCCTTTAGTTTAGTTACTTACTTAGAGTCCGATATTTCGCTTAGGAATATAGGATGGACAACGTATAGGCCACCACTGGTAATGCCAGCCAGGAAGCGTCCAATGAACAGATACTCCGCGCTCTTAGCAAAGTAAACAAGGATCCATAGGCACTAAATTGAACAATCTTTATACCCGGATACTATAATATGGCCCGCACTGATTACTTACAGAGTGTGGGAAGGCTATGAAGAGCAGGCTGAGGCGACTGCCAACCCGAGAATGAACCAGTCCCATCAGGATGTTTCCCACCACGGCGCCTAGGCCCTGGGCGGAGCCCACCCAGGAGATTTCCGAGATGCTCAGCGAGAAGTCGAGGGGCGAATCAACGGACTGTATCTTACGTAATGTGGGCGACAGCCAGCCGACGCCAATGCCATGTGCAATGCATATCAGGTTTACTGGAAACGGGCTTTACACTTGTCAAATATTGACTTAAGAGATTTATCTTTGCACTCACTTAAAAGCGTGGATAGAAATTGATAACGATTTCTGCGATTCAGCAAACAATTCGGGCTTTCAAGTAGTTTCAGTAACATTTTGAAATTAAAATTTGATTTTCCAATTCAGGTGAGCTTTAGTTGCTGCACTGGTCAAGTGTTATTAAAATACTGAATTGTGAAACTTGCTTCTCATTGAGCTCAACAGGTTGCGGCTGCTGTATTTGGCCAAGAGCTGCAGCAAAGACTAGGCCTGCTGGGCAGCTGTCGTGCAGCGGTTAGATTGCATTTGTTTTTGTTTTTGAATAGCTCAGCAAAAGTTACTCACCTCTACAAGGCTAAGCTGAATAAGCTGAACTTTGATAGACAGAGAGAGAGAGAGAGAGAGAGAGGGAGGAAATTTCCTTATTTGAAGATAAATTGAATGACAAACGACCTGGAAGAATCCTCATGAGTAAGTGTCTTGAGTATTATTATTACGCCTTTACCTTATATTTTATTAACTTAGCTTAATACCAACTCTAAGCCTAAGAACTCCATTACTTGGTCCAGCCTAAAATATAATATTAAATTCTATCAAGGTTCCAGCATTGATTTCCCTTTAGTCTCTTTGAGAAAGCACAGAAAAAGTATAAAGCCAACAAATGCAACAAGGCTACAGCTCCACATGGTGATCGATATGCCCCAATATTCCATGCAGAGGGGAAAGATCTTCAGCGACAGAAAAACCGTGCTGCTCAACAAGATGATGCATCCAGAAACCGCCACCGAGCGAATCTTAAAATATGAAGAATAGTCTTATTTATCCGGGATCTCTGCTCCAGGACCTTTAATGTGGACTCACCTTGGCTGGCATTTGTTCGACCAACACCACAAACAGAACTCCCACCAGACCAATATTACAAAGGAACACATCCAAGGATAACAGGAGAAGAGGCATCCAGCCAACAGAGGAGAGATCGTAGCGCTCTGCGAAGTAGGTGAAAGAGCCGAATGTTGCCAGACAAATGCCACAGCCCAGACTGGAGATCAAGAGCAATATCTTGCGGCCAAATCGATCGCATAATAAAGTCGTTGTATAGGTGCCCACGATCTGGATAACTCCGATGATGATCGTGCACATGCCTATGTCCAAGGTGGTGTGTGAGAGGGTAAAAACATCCGACATGTACGAAGCAAAGCAGAAGGTGCCCGTGAATTGATTCGTGAATATCAGCAAAATAGCCATAGAGTAGGCTTTCAAGGCAGGTCGCGTCACTAAGAAAATAAGAGAAGTATTAATGAAGGAAGTATTGTAGGCTAGGCTATCGGATACTTACGGAAGTCCTTGTAATTGAAGGCGTTCACACTCAACGCCCTCTCCTTGGTAAGTTTAACTTTGATTTCCTCAAACTCCAGCATGGAGCTTTTGTCGTCATCCCTGATATTTTTATAGTATCGAAATGACCTTTCCGCAGCTCCAAACTTGCCCTTGTTGATCAAATAAAACGGCGTTTCAGGGAGAAATAGATTGCTAATGAAATAACAAACGGGCAGAGGTAGGATAAAAAAGGGGGCCACATAGTAGTCAACATTTGTGGATAAGATATAGCCCGTTAGAATGCCCATGTTAACAGAGAGCATCACCATAGAGGAAAGGCGGCCGCGAATCCTAAAGTATATTTAAATATGTTTAAATATATAGAGAAAGAGCGCGCGAGAGAGTGGGGGCCTTACTTGGCATCTGATATTTCGCTAATGAATATGGGGAGAACTATATAACCGGCTCCACCCGTGACGCCGGCCAAAAGACGAGCGAGATACAAATACTCCACGCTCTGAGCGAAGTAGGACAGCAGCCAGAAACACTAAAGGAAAATCGAGTCACTTAATGCTAAGTATGTGAGGACTGCTTAGTCGACTACTCACTACATACGGTGCCGTTAGAGCAAGTATAACAGGCTTTCGCCCTATGCGATCCTGTAGTAGTCCAGCTAACAAGTTGCCAACGACGCTACCAATGCCCAACAGAGACCCTATCCACGATACCTCCTCCACCAGCACCACGAAGCTGAGAGGTGAATCGGGAGTCTGCAAGGCTCTCATCACTGGCGAGAGCCAACCGATGCCTATGCCATGAGCAAAAGTCGATATGTTCACTGGAGAATGGAAGAACGAATTGAAAGTCCTCCCAGGTATTAAGCAGTCCTTGTGCGCCTAGCTCACCTAGAAACGTGGCCAGGAACTGATAACGGTTTCTGCGGCTCAGCAGACTCTCCCCAAGGTCAAGTCCCGTTGTCAAGTTCATTGCGATCTAACCAGTTGCAGCTCATGTCTTTGACTGAGTGCTATAGGACTTTAGAATCGCCTAATAAAAAGTCTATCGTCCAGATTAGAGAGATACGTCTATGAAGCTTACACAACTTCAGAGAAAGATTAGATAGGAGATTGTATTTAAAGCTCTACCAAATGTTATGTATGCCGGTTAAGTAAAAATTAATTTATTATGGTGTCAACATACAAATATATACAAGTCTGTCCTCCTTTACTTTAGTCTCGGACAAACAAAAGAAGAGCCTGAAAACAGCTGATGCAATTGTGCCAGAACCATAGATATGACTGGGGAACGCATCTGAGAGGAATTTAAGTCCATTAAAAAGAAAAAGAGGTCAGTCCTGTATACGAAATAGAGGAGGTCAGGCAATCAGAGACTTTAAAGTTTAAACTAACGATTGAATAGAGAAACAGAGTCTGTGAGAAAATGGGATCCTCAACACGTTTTCCCAAAGTACTAAGTGGATTCTAATAACTCAATTCCTATCGCCAAAAGCTTTGACAAATATATTTCTATCTGTTTTTAAGTTTAGATAAATATATTGTGAAATACCTCACAAAATGAAAACAACATTTCGCATCATTGAAATAATTTCTGTAATATAATTTCAAAATACAATCTGCCCAATAAAATCGTAGTCCCAAGTACATAAAACTCGCAACAGAGTTGCTAATTCATTTCATGATGCAAATATTTGCTGAGATCTGAGGGAATTTCATCAGGTAAATAAAGCACGACAGTGCCTCTATTTGCGTTGTATTTGAAAAAGCGAATGTTAAGGAAGGTTAGTTCGTGTAGACGACTCAATCGTTGTAGAATGGCTATCGTAGTATCTTGTCTAACTTATAATAAAAGCTTATGAGCGCAATACCGTATTCTCCTAAAAGTCGACTTTAAGATATAGATTAGAGTTCAAGTAGGGTCCATCGCATAATTTTCAGATAATATATATTCATAACACATTTTCTTATAGTTATCCTCGATCTATCAACTAAAGAATTGATAATTAGTTTATTTATGTTATGATTAAGTAAAAACTAATTTATTTCTTATACATAAATATACAGAGTTTAATCCTGAATCATTGACTTGCCTTTGGTCTCTGGCAGGAACAACAAGAAGTAAACAAATGTTAGAAGACTGGAGGCAGCCGAGAACCACATGGTTATTGATATACCAAAATAATGGAGGAGCAGCGGGAACAATTTCAAAGTGCCAAAAACCAGAACGCTGAGGAAAACTACTGACATGGACGTGGCCAGAGAACGTATCTGAAAATAAAGGAAAATATTAAAAATAGTTTCTGAACTGTATGGTCTCTCTCTTTTTATACCCTGAACCCATTTTCAATGGGAAATCAGGGTATAATGGTTTTGTTGAAATGTATGTAACAGGCAGAAGGAGGCGTGGCAGACCCCACAAAGTATATATATTCTTGATCAGGGCGACGAGCTGAGTTGATTTGGCCCTGTCCGTCTGTCTGTCCGTCTGTCCGTCTGTCCGTCCGTCCGTCTGTCCGTCTGTCCGTATGTATGAACGCGTCGATTTCAGAAGATATAAGAGCTAGAGACTTCAAATTTTTTTTAAATTGTCCGTAATTACAGCGCGCATATCAAGTTTATCATTAAAAATCGATAACTCATCCCGATCTTTTTTTATCGATAAAAAACCATATCGAAAACCAGTTATAAAATTATATCTTCTACACCTTTATTGCTAGAGTCTCCAAATTTTTTATGTATGCTTATATGCAATTTATGCAATTTCGGTTTTTGTTAAAATTTACCCCCAACCTTAAATTCACCCCCTCACCCACACTTTTGTAAAAAGCGTATTTCAAATACTAGAGACTTTGCAATTACATGCATATTCATGTTATAATCATAATCTGAAAGTTTCATGAAGATCGTACCTTCATAAAAAAAGTTATTAAGCAATTAAGTTCTCATAGTAAGCGCACACTGCAGCCCATGCGTGTTTATGCGTGGGTGCTTGTGTGTGTATGTGTGTGTATGTGTTTGTGTATTGTATGAATGTGTTTGTGTGTGTATGTGTGTATGTGAGTGTGTGTATGCGTTTGTGTCTGTATGCATGTGTGTGTATGTATGCCTGTGTGTGCGTACGTGCGTGTGTGTGTGTGTGTGTGTGCGTGTTTCTTGTATAAGCTGAAAGACGCGAAAAATTATTGAAATATCTATTGCTCCAAGGGTTCAGGGAATCTCGTAGTCGAGCAGTCTCGACTAGAGCTTTCTTACTTGTTTATAGTCATATTAATTGGAATGAATCTTACCTTAGCTGGAAAGAGTTCCACAAGCACTACGAAGAATAGTCCAATGAGCCCAATGTTGCCCAAGTAGATTATAATTATCATCAGCACTAACGGCACCCAATTGAGATAGTTCAGATCGTAGAACTGGCCAAAGTATGTGAAGCAGCCAAAGACGATGCAGCCCAGAGCCACGCCCAATGTCGAGATCAGCATGAGGATGCGACGCCCGATAATGTCTACGAAGATGGTCGACGTATAAACGCCAACGATTTGCACTACGCCAATGATAATGGTGCAGATGTTGACATCCAGGATGGAGCCCGATGCGTCGAATATGGTGGACATATAGTTGATGAAGCTAAATATTCCGCTAAATTGATAGCCCGTGGAGAGAACCATAGATGCTGCGAAGGCTTTTAGGGCGGGCTTGGTAACTAATGTATATAAAATATATGCAATAATGAAGCAAACATATATATTAATGATGAGCGACTCTTACTCAAGTCTCTATAGGTTAGAGCAGTCTGATTCTGTGCCTGCTGCGCATCTATGGCCAAGCGCAGCTCGTCGAAATTCGCCTTGGAGACCTGCTCCATGCCTCCTTTCTGGTTTTGATAGTATCTAAAGGAGGTTTCAGCTGCAGTCAGCTGACTGCGCCTCAGCAGATAGGGAGCCGTCTCGGGCAGGAAGAGATTGGCTGTGAAGTAGGCGATGGGCAAGATGATGGCGAGGAATGGCACGATGTGATAGGCCAAGTAGGTGCTGAGTATATAGCCAACGAGTACGCCCAGGTTGACAGATAGCATGACCATGGAAGTCAAAGAGCCTCGAATGCTGAAAGGTATACAGAATATTTATATTATAGATATGAACACAGAAAGCTGAAGATATAGGTAGAGAATATATAGATACATATAAAGTGATTTAGATAAGCCTCCTCACCTGCTGTCGGCCACCTCACTGATGTAGATGGGCACTACCAAATAGCCCGCGCCTCCAGTGAAGCCACAGAGAAAGCGGGCCACGTATAAGTAGTACACATTCGAGGCACAATAGATTAGGATCCAGAGACACTTAAAACACAAGTTGTACGACGTTGTACGAAGACGTGCAGACTCGATAGGCACGACTTACCGCATAGGGTCCTGCCAACAGGTAGATGCAAAATTTTCTGCCCATTCGCTCCAGCAGAAAGGCTATAGTTAGGTTGCCCAAGAGACTGCCCAAGCCCAGCATGGAGCCCAGCCAGGAAATCTCTGCGATGCCCACTTGGAAGTCGAGGGGCGTGTCGGGTGTCTGGATCTTGCTCAAGGTAGGCGACAGCCAGCCAACGCCCACGCCATGGCCAAACGTTATGATGTTGACTAACCGAATCTCGAGTTAAAGCTCAGTCTTCCGATGTCGACCTGTGCCACGACTTACCTATGATGGTGGCCAGCAGTTGGTAGCGCGTCCTCGCATTCAGCAGGGAATACTGCCTTAGCTTCGTCATTGTAGTTGAGGATTGGAGACGCCTTAACAGTTGCACTGCCCGCCGAATAATGCGACTTCGGGCATTTGTAGCCTCTGAGATGTAGAAGAGCTTTATTGATATTTCGCTGATTGTCAAGCTTTTATTATTATTTGATTATTAAGCTTTTATCGTGTGGACACAGACTATTGCACGCCTATTGCCAGCTATCATCAGAGTCTTCATCACACCAATGATGGATCATATTAGAAATAGGTGTGCTCAGGCCATACTTAATGGATTAGATGAGGAACGAATAAAGATAAGAATTCTGGGCGAGCATCAATTGTATAGAGAGTGTATGATAATGATTACATTACCTGGCTCTCTTTACCAGGTGTTACAGGCGTGCATAAATAAGAGGCTCGCCTCTCTTCGGCGATATGGTTGTCAAACCCGATCGACATCGGAGGTGGGCTATTCCAATGATGAGCATGGGTAGAACGATATATCTACCTCACCCTGTAATGCGTGTTAGAATGCAAGATTTGTACAAATACTCCACGCTCTGAGCGAAGTGGGTCAACGGCAGGGCGATCTTTCCAGGATCTACTCTACTTCTACGGGTAGAACGATAATTTAACAGTCCCAGATGATTAAGTAATGGCTAATGATCGTTAATTTAGCAAGAAATGATAATCATCATCTGGGCCCAGGTCCAAGTGTTCCATACCATGTGCAACTACATATAACTGAAGAAGGCGTGCCTGTCTGCTCCGATAAGGCTTTTGAGGCAAAGTAATTTATGGAGTAGGCGTCTAACGAGATATAAGCTTCGCATGATCCCTTGGAAAATTACACAGCAAAATAATCTCTCTCTCTCTCTCATAGTTTGTCTGTAAACTTTGCCTCCCTTGGTCTCTCCCTTAGTCTCTTTCTCAATCACTTAAGTCGCTTATTCTATCCTTATCTGTCTATATCTCTTTATTACTGTCAAGCAAGTTCATTCATCTCTATTGCACCTGTACTGTATAGAACACGTGAGGCTGTGTTCAGATTGTACAGATAGGATCTCCAGAATGAATTTTGTAATCTAATCAAAGAGAGCGTTTATAAGTCGCAGATAGACACAAATACAGAAGGTAAGCTCAAGGTTAAGCTGTAAGCCAACGGGCAGACAGTTAGCCAGATTATTACGCCCGACTAGACTTACGACAAAGACGTAACTTGTCTGGCATCTGTGGAGAGTATACTATAAGAAATGCACTTGATCTTGTAACAGGCTTATAATATTTAATATTGTTAGACAAGTATAAATAAAACAATTCACAGCTAACTATAAATTCGCCAAAATGACTTCAATTGTCTTGCCCTTCGTCTCGGGCACAAAGATGGCAATGAACAAAGCCCCGGCGAGGGTGCAGCTGGCGAAGAACAGCACCGTCCCATGCATGCCCCACGCAGCGTTGAGCAGGGGAATGAGCTATACGAATAGAATAAGTGGCTTAATGTCGTTTTGAAGACAGTCAAATACTGGGGATCTACCTTAATGGCCAGCATGGAGAGCAGCCATAAAATAGACATGAGCACCATAATGGCGGTGCTGCGTATCTTCGGGGGCAATATCTCCGAGATGACCAGAAAAGGCAGCGTCAACAGGCCCAACGCGGCGATGAACAGCATGAATGAGAACGCAGCAACGGGCACCCAATCGAAGCCGGACGTGTCATACTGGAGCACCTTCAGGTAGCTGTGACTGGCCATGATCAGCTGACTCAGACAAATGCCAACCGCGGAAACGAGCAGCAGGACCTTGCGACCTGCTCGCTCCACCAGCAGAGTGGACACATAGGAGCCCACCAGCTGAATGACGCCCACAATGATGGCGGAGACAGTGGGCGGCAGACTGGAGCCGGATTTCTCGAATATCATTGCCGTATAGTTGAGCAAGGCAAAGCAGCCACAGCCCTGATTACACATCAACACGCCCAGCCCAATGACCAAGGCCTTACGCGTCTTTCGATCCGCTGGGAATGAGAGAGAGAGAGAGAGAGAGAGAGAATAAGAATTAGATTTAATTGAAAATTGAAGGGTAGGAGGTAAACGTGAAGGATGCTACTGCTACTCATGAGACTATGGATTCGAGCCAAGCTACTTTGCAGCTTAACCATGAAATGTTGAGGAAAGCCTTACCAAAGTCCGCCCAGGTCACGGCACTGTCGTCAATATCCACATCGTCTGCCTTCTCGGGTGCGCGCAGCTTGTGCAGCTCCAGCTGCAGCTGCTCGCTCAGGTCTTTAGAGGGACGAGTGCGTATATTGCGATAGTAGCGCAGGGCGTCCTCTGCCTCTGACAACTTGTGGCGCTGTGCCAAATGCTGCGGGGTCTCAGGCATAAACCAGAAGCAACCCACGTAGACTATTGTCAGTGCAGAGGCAATCCACGCGACTGTCGCATAGTTGAAGTAGTAGCCCAAAATGAAGGCGAGCAGCACGCCAAAGTTACAAGTGAGCACGAGCAGAGTGCCCAGGATGCCCCTCACGCTGGATGGCAGTGCACAGGTTAGTGATGGTAGTTGTCGAGCGCTTCTCTATGACTCACCTGTCCTCTGCCAGCTCCGCCGTGTAGAGGGGAATCACTCCAAAGCAGCCGCCTCCTGCCAATCCACCCAAAAAGCGAGCTGCTATCAGATGAGTGGGATTCCGTGCATAAGGGATGCCAATCCAACCCAGCTGCAACAGAAACGCATAAGTTAGCTAAGTCGAACATTCAGATCAAACCGTTTCATACCAGCGAGGGCACTGCCACCCACAGCATTGAGCTCCTGCGACCGATTTTGTCGGCCAGCCAGAGGAAGAATACATTGCCAACCAGACCGCCGAGGCAGAGAACCGATGCCACATTGCCCTGATCCTGCTCTGTAAGAGGACCAGTCTCCAAGGGACTCGTGCTGCTGTTTAGCTCCAGAAAGCTGGACGAAGGCCAACCGCAATAGGCGCCAAAGGAAATGGACACAATATTTACTAAAATTTATAAAACATCATGATATATATGTAAAATTTTTCTTATATTTTATTAATTTATTCTCTGTGTAGCTCTGTCATATATATAAATAGTTATATAAATATTAGAAATGTTATTTCTAATATTATTATTTCACCACATATTAAATATATATGCATGCATATTTTTTAGTTTATTGATGTTATTGAATGCGCAATAAACGATACACATTTTTTCAATTTACTTTATATTTTTTTACATATATTACTTATATGATTCATTAGGATTGATTGAAAATACACATATATATATATAAAAAAAAAAAAAAAAAAAAAAAAAAAAAATTGTAAAATTATTCGCAATATTTTAATTTTCTTTTAATTGAACTCAGCTGATTTTCCAAGTATTTAAACAATAATCTCTAATTTTCTGAGGGATTTTCCCACAGGAGCACTTTAAAGGTAATTTCACTCTCGGTTACTATCCTCTGACAGATAGATTGACAGAAACAATTTACAAACCAAATATTGCAGCCAGATATTGATGTTTCACACTGCCTTTTGAGTCCATGTTGCTATTTTTTCATTATCCCCTTAGCAGGTGGTTTTTGCAGTTGGGATCTGCTGCCTGGGGTACCGCTCATGGCGCACTAACCGGGCACAGTGGCTGCATGATAACTTTTATATATGACATTAAAATTCCACACATAATGGGTTGAGATTATGAAGCCAAGCAGAGATACAGAGCCGCAAAGCTGCGAAAACAAACTGAACGGATTGTTCTTATCACTCAACTGCTATGCTCTCAGCTCTCAGCTGAAACTACGAACATCGACAACAACAACAACAACATCAGACAGTTATTCCAATTGCATTCAGTCCAGACTGTCGATACGCTTTGTTTTCTCAGCTACTGTCATTATAATTTCAAGTACTTCCTGCTCTACTCCTCAGAGTCAGGGAAATGTGATGGGAGTATTTTAGCTGACTTTGTCCGAGGTAAAATAGTGAATGGAAGAGATCAATATAACATAACACCAGGATATTCACTTTTGTCGGTAAAAACTATATATTGATTAAATGAGAAATAATAGCAAAGCAAACTTGTATTAAAGTTGTTTAGTATTTGATATTCCAAGTATTCCGAGCATAGTAAATTGAAGGAGACTAGAACTGAAATGACAGATTTAATATAGAGTCGTATGTAGGCACACATAGATTAAATCAGCAAGGGAATTAAAACTGCGTTTATAGCAGACATAAGTGCGCTTTATTTTGTATATTTATATTTGCTCTTCTCTTCATATTATATGTTTACAATTTTTCCTGCTGTGATATGTGCCTAGCATTAGCAAATGAGCTGCACAGGGGAGCGCCATTGTCAGAGAGCTGAATCGCCGTGCAGTGCAGTCGAGTGCAGCAGTTGCCGAGCAGTTGCTCTGCTTGAATCACGTTTTAATGGCGCTCTCGTATCAGTAGCCCGAAGATTAGACACTCTGTGCGTGTGCTACGAATATTCTAAATTTTAATCAGATAGGAGTGAGCGTTAGGTAAACAAGGCGAAACAGCCACATCGCAAATATGGATTAGTGTGCATGTGGGACGCTTGGCATGTCTTCCTTATTTGCCATGCGCCGCGAAAAGAGAAAGTATTGCTTCTGAGTGATGCTCGAACCTATTGCTAAGCTAAGCTCTATTGTCAGGGTTTTGGTGTCCAGGTCTCAGGTCGAGTATCTCAAGTACTGACCAATTTCACATCTATTGTGACCAGAAAGTTCTATGCAATAAAGAAATTCGACGCTAGATTAGATAAGTTAAGATCGTGGGATTATGGCAATATGAATTTCATCAGCGCTGACGCTACTTCGGCTCTCTTTTCACGTTGACAAGCCGTGGAGCACGAATGCCTGCCAAAGCATAATGAACTCCATCAGGTGAGAACTGAAGAACAAGCGCCTCTCTTAATTAACTTGTGCTTTACTTATATTAGGCCTAATTGTAATTTAATTGCTTAGATGCTCGACGAAATGTGCCCGTTGGTGGCACTGCCCGCCTTGGCCACGCCCTCCTGGCCCACGTAGCCCAGTTCCCTTTGCACGGCCGAAGGTCGCCGATTGCGCGTCTCCGGCAGCAGCGGCATCGAAATGAGTCCCACGAGGATGGAGGCGGCTGCAAACACCCACAGGTAGAGCACCAGCCCAGGTCCAATCGGGGACTTAACCGCATTGAAGCCCTGTTTCAATGGAAAAAGCGTTGTATTTATGCGATTTCCCCAGAATCCTCAGTGCAGCGCTCCACTCACCTCAATCATGCCGAAGAGCAGCAGCCAAGAAACGCCCGAGGCCACTGAATATAGCAAGTCGTGCAGCTGTGAAAATCCAATTCGGAGAACGTATTATAAATGTGTAAATGTGAAGCAGCAGAACAGCACTTAAGAACCCAAACAGCACAATTAGAAATTTGCAGTTAGCTAGCATTTTGGTAAATAATGATTTCGCATTTGGAAAGTCATTTTAAGCTCAGATAATTTAATTTCATTTCTGTCTGATGGCACATTCAATTCCTATGAATATGCGATTAAATTCACTAATTCTTATTATTTGTAAATTAAGCAAACACAACATAAAATATATACTAATGTATGAAATATATGTATATGTATGTATATATAAATTAATTGAAGCGATGGCATGAAAAGTATGCAATGCATTTAGGTTTTTGCAATCAAAAGTGTTCAGCCCTCACTATTAAACAGAATTTCAAAGAATGAATGGCATCCAATTAAATGCAAAATATGAATAGCAATGCGCCCATGCACAGAATCAGAATGAAATTGGCAACTTTACAGAATTTAATAAATTACGGCTTCATCCGTGGGCCATGACTGATTACACTATATATTACTCTCTGGTGCTGCATATTTTACCTAGTCTGGCTAACTATTGTAGTTAGTTAAGTTCCATCATTAAGTCAACGAGGTAATTTCATTATCGCTGACTCAAACAATCAAGCTAACAATATTATAACCACTTAAGAAGTTATTGCATTAATCAGGATAATCAGACCGATTAATTACTTGGAATATGTTTGATTATATTTTTCAGGCTGTCACGGATACGAATGCTATATTATTGCTTACCTTTGTGGGCAGCACTTCGCTGCTGACGACAGCGGCCAGGGGATAGAGCCCAAAGCTGACGAAGAATAGCTGAATGGCGAGCAGGATGATGGGAACAGTGCGCTCACTCCAGGGGCCCAGAGACCAGCTCTCCTGGAAGTGCTTGAAAAGGGCCAGCAGGATGACTGGCACAGCAGCCAGCAGCGAGGAGAGACAGAGCAGCACCTGGAAGAGGGAGGAAGACCGAAAATTCAATGAGATTTTAATCTGAAAAGAGAACGACATGGGTTTCTTTACCTTGCGAGGCATCTTGGGACCAACGAGGCGTGCAAAAACGGCGCCAATACACTGCGATATGGAGAGCAGAACATAGTTCAGCTCCATCGTGTAGCCAGTGCGACCCAGAAAGTCGGCAGCATAGTTCAGCTCCACGAAGACGCCGCTGAGCTTGGCGCATATGGTCAGCAGAAAGCTGACTCCAATGAGACGGACGACGTAGCTGCGCGGGTAGTGTTCGGAGCCAATGCCCTTGCCCTCACCTTTCATCTCGGCCTTGAACTCGGATAGTTCCTGCAGATAGTCGGGCTTCTCGCGGTCATCCATGTCGCGTATGCCTCGATACCAGCGAAGGGATTTCTCCAGGGCCGGCAGATTGCCCTTGCGCATGAAGTAATGCGGACTCTCCTGCACGAAGGGGAAGCACAGGGAGAACACACAGGACATCATGCAGCCCACAACATTTACATAATGGTAGGGCAAATAGAAGCCAAGTACAAAGCCAAAAAGTATGCCCAGCGTGCGCCACAGTTCGATTGTAAATGTTAAGAGGGCGGCCTTCTCTCGGGTCTCGGCAATTTCATTGATGAAAATTGGCAGCACAACAAGCGCGGTGCCAGCTGCCACGCCCCCAAACATGCGTGAAGCATAGATGTGAACGATATCAAAGCCAAAGTGTATGGTAAACCAGCTGAACTGGAAAAAGATGAGAGTTTGAATTCGATTAGTTATCGATAGCACGATAACCCTTCATAGGCTCATAGGTGATTCAATTGAACTATGAAACATTTGTGAATGATTGGATAACTAAGCAGTATCTGTGTATGAGTAACGACTTACAATTTGGAGCAATCCACTGCAGAGCAGCACGGACTTGGGGCCGATACGAATGGCCAGGCAGCCGGACACGGCGGCTCCAACGGCGGCGCTCAGAAAGAGGTAGCCCGTTAATAGGGCAGTGCCCGTGGGGTCTGCGACTTTGTTGAGTGGCGTTCGTTGTTCCGATTCATAGAGATCCATGTGAGCGGGTGTAATACCAAAGAGGACGCCAAAGTTAAAGCAAAGCAAATTACCTAGGAGGTAATTTTAATTGATATTGGCAAACTATTCATATATATAGATTTACCCACCAACGGCTGTGGCCACGCTCTGGATGGCGCCTCCGCTGACTCGCTTGGGCAAGCACATGATGAAGTCCTCTCGTATTCAGATTTCAGAATTCCTATTCCCTCAAAGTAGTTGTAGATGGAGCTGCATGTAAACTGAGAGGGTTTTATTGTCTGGACTGCCCTATTTATGGTGGATTTATCTGTAACGTTTCGTTATCTTGAATGAGATAAGCGACTGCAAGGCAGTCTGCTGCTGTGCGCAACATTTTGCCGTGGACCGTTGTTGGATACCCAGTCTCCGGGGCCAGCTTTTTAGATGTGGCAGATTTGTATATACATTTAAATATATTTGCACAACGTGAGTCCACACTGATGCCGCGACAAAATGCCTGTGTCTGACTAAATGTTTTGGCTACCGTTGGAGACATCTGTTTTTAACCTACAGCAGATAACCTTACCCAAGTCAAAATATGTCTACGTTAGGGTTATTCAGGCGCTGAGGCGCAACTTAATTAATACTGGACGCAAACTAATTCTTGACTGATGGAACAGCAATTAATTTCAATTAAAATCAATTGTAGACAAAGTGCAGAAATATTTGTATTGTCGATAAAATTTATTAGATATGCTATATGCCATTCGGTTTTATTTTATAAGAGCAGAATAATATTCCAATATAGTCAGGCTGAAACAAAATTAAGATTTCGAATATTTGCGACTATTTAAATTACCGCCTCTAAAATGATCGTTCGTTATCGAATATAATAAGTAGAGCGGCGATGCACGGCAGAAGCTGCCTGATACGACACTCGACTGTCATGCACAGCATAACCGGTCTATCAAACAGCTATCGACCAGCCACCACTCTGTCACTTAGATCAGTCTAAGAGCCGGGCGAATTTTAATTGTGCCTAATCAATTTAAAGCAAAAGCCACATTATGACAGATGAGCTGTGGTCTAGCGAATATGCCGCTAATGAAACTATTCGGCTAAACAAGAATGTTAGTGCTGGCGATTATCAGAATGCTTGGCGTAAACAAAAATTGATATTAGCACATGCTACGAGGTGAGTGAAAATTATACAAAATGAGACACTCTTAAGCTGAAAGATAACTCTTTCAATTATAAAGCAACTTAAGTGAAACTATCCGCTATGAAGTGCTCAAGGAACATCAACAGTTATTTTCAAATGCCAGCAGTACGGAAGTCTTTATGAATGACTGTTTATCTGGATGCCGAAGCCTGCTGACAGCGAGTCGACGTCGAAGAGCCGCTGCTGAACTGCAAGTGGAATGGCGCCAGCCACCTGATCATTTATTTGAGCCTGTGTGCCGTGGAAAATATGAGAGCTGCAAACATGACGAAAATATAGAATTGAAAAGATCCCCGAAAGGGACACCGCCAGAAAAAGCGGCAGTGCCAGTATCGAGCACAGCAAGCCTTGTCCCTGCACCAGGGGCAGCTGGCAATGTAGGATTTCGTACAGCACGTGAACAGCTGCTATTGCATGAAATGCAGGTAAATACTGAAAAAAGAATAACATTTTAGCTCAGATGAGACTTGCAGTGGCAGCAAATATTAGTCGTTTTACAATAATTGACAATTTTGTCAATGCTTATATTTACTAAAGCCTTCCAATTATATATGAATGTGCATATATGTAGCATCCTCATGATGTGTATATATGCTAGCCAGTGGTTTTTTATATTTATATTTAATATAAATGTGCATATGAGTAAACAATTATTATTTCAGAAGACCAAAAAATATGAAACTGTTGCCTCGATTCTGATGGACTACAGAAAAAAATCGCTTGGCGGACGTGCATGCAGCTTAAATGCTAACTTTGTGCAACCTGTTGGAAGAAGTGACTCGTAAGATCTAGCTCGAAGCTATTAACAGCTCTTCAAATATTACTTTCATTTGTTTGTTTAGGAATGTTTTAGCTGTTCCAAAAAAGAAATCCGAGCCGGCAGCACCTGCTGCAGATGTGCTACCTGTTCCGGCCGCGTTGGCGGACTTGGATTCCCATATGGTTCAGCAAATAATGCGTGAGAGTATGCACAAATACAAGCCGGTAACATGGGATGATATAGCTGGACTGGACTATGCCAAGTCCACGTTCATGGAGACCATCATACACCCATTACAACGCCCAGATTTGTTCAAGGGCATTCGTCGACCCCCACGGGGTGTTTTGCTATTTGGTCCGCCCGGCACGGGAAAAACTTTGATTGCCAAGTGCATTGCCTCGCAGTCGAAAGCAACTTTCTTTAGCATAAATCCCTCCACATTGACTTCCAAGTGGGTGGGCGAAGGCGAGAAGATGGTCAAGACTCTCTTTGCGGTAGCTGCCGCACATCAACCGGCCGTAAGGGGATCTCAATCACTCAAAAAGAAGCAACTGATTTAAGGATTTACTGTCTTTCAGATCATATTTATGGATGAAGTCGACTCCTTGCTCTCGCAACGCTCGGATAGCGAGCACGAGAGCTCCAGACGTATAAAAAACGAGTTTTTTATACAATTAGATGGGGCGGTAACCAACGAGGATGACCACGTTGTGGTCATTGGGGCCACCAATCGTCCTCAGGAGCTGGATGAGGCTGTGCGCCGTCGCTTTGTGCGTCGCATCTACGTTTCGCTGCCCGTGGCGAAGGCACGTCAGCTGATAATTCAGAAGCTTATACAGCAAATACACCACAATCTCAGTGACGCACAAATAGAAGAACTAGCTAAATTAACCGAAGGTTATTCAGGCGCCGATATGGACAGTCTTTGCCGTTACGCGGCTATGCAGCCACTGAGAGCTTTAACAACTGCTCAGATTGACGTAATCGATGCACAGCAGGTAAGCAAATCTTCTGCATCAAGCAGCTCCTTTCAATACCCCGCACTGAATAGGAATTCGAAATGTAAGGTATACTCATTTCCATATGTAGTTTATTGGGGAATGTCGCTTTTCATTTGTCTATGGCTCTCCGTCTTTATCAAACACTATGTTACTGGAGATTCGAAATTCACCGCTTCCATTCCACGATTATGAAGTCTGTGATAGGCTAGTATATTGATAGGCTAGTATATTGAGTACATCCACTACACTAGTCATCCATCATATAGTTGAACACCCCCGACAAGCATCAGGCTGACTTGTCATTCATGTAATAACTGGTATATTTTGTTCATATTTTGCGCAGCTGCCCGCTGTTACGATGGCTGACTTTACGAACGCACTGCAGCATATCTCGAAGAGCGTCTCGGCGGATGATGTGAAGCGTTACGTGTCTTGGAATCTAACTTATGGGATTGAGCGTTAAATAATACAACATGGACTAAATAGTTTTGTTGAATGCTTTATTTGCAGTTGGACATCCTCTACAGTTGGCGCTTAT